GGGGGGGGGGGGGTTCCCCCCAAGGTGGAGCCTCGGGTCGCTCAGGGATGCTTAGGGGAGCAAAGCCAGGGCTCCCGGGAGACAGGGGGGAGGAGGTGGGTGGAGTGGGATGGCAGCGGCTGTGATGTTTGAGGCTGGAGTCTGCCGGCTGCCAGTCTCTGACCCGAGAGCTTGGCCCCATCTCTCTTGCTCCCGCTCTCACGTGTGAGGCCCCGTCCCCCTCAGTTTAAGGCAGGAGGTCCCCCCCCACATCCTGGCCTGGGGACTTACAGGGGGCACAGTCAGATGTGGGGGAAGGGTCCCTGCCTGGCACGTGTGAACGGCCCATGTCTGTACCGCCTGGGTGGGCATGGGTGGCCAGGCCACCTTCCGGGTGCAGAGAGGGGGCGCCTGGGGGCTGCAGTGGGTGCAGGGCAGGATGACAGGAACTGGGAAGGAGTGTGGACGCTCTCATTTCACCTCCCGCCACTAGTCCAGGGCCCAGAGAGAGGATGGGCCACATGGCTGACCCCCAGGGCAGAAGCCCCGTCCATGCGGGGGGACACGTTCCCAGCAGCCCAGACAGCAGGCCTCGACCGGGCACTGGAGGCCAGAGTCCATCCACACGGGACCCTGGGCGCAGTGTTTCGTGTACTGAGCTCCTGCTCTGTGCCCAGCTCTGCTCAGGCACAAGGGACAGAGTCCCTGTCCTCATGGAACAGAAATTCTAGGGAAGGAGACACATGATAGACAGCCACACAGTAACCTGATGTCACCGCAGGAAGCGCAAGATCCACGGATGAAATGACGGCAGGAAGAGGTTGGAGGATAAAGTGGGGACTATTTCAGAAAGAGTGATCAGGGAGGCCCTCTTGGAGGAGGCGGCATTCAAGCAGAGACTGAGAGAAGAAGCCATTCGAAGGTCAGGCAGGAAAGAATGTTCTAGGCGAGGAGCAGCCAGGGAGCTGGTGGAGCTGGAAGGTGGGGGAGGAGAGGGTGAGGGGTGGGGAAGGCTGAGAGGTCGGCAGGGACCAGGTCTCCTCGAGCCTGAGACAGAGGACAAGCTCTGATCCCTCCCCGAGAGGCGAGGCACAGAGGCTGTGAGGGCGGCGATGTGGGGGCGTCAAAGGGCACAAACACCTGTGGGTTGGGCCCAGCCCTGCCATTTCACAACGTGGACCTGGGGAAACTACTGCATGCTCTGTGCCTCAGTGTCTGCACCTGTAAAGTGGGGCTTCTACCAGAACCCCACTCCCAGGGTGGGAACAGGAAGCATGGCAGGGGGAGGGAGGGGCGGGCGGGAGAAGCGCCTGGGTGGCTGGATTCAGGATGCACTTTGAAGGTGGAGCCGGTGAGCCTGGCTGAGGGGCCGGTGTGTGAGGGGGAGATGCCCTGGACCCATCCTGTGTGCTGGGCAGGAGGTCTCCGTCTTTGTTTTAAAGGATAATAAATGCCCTTCATTGAGTACCTCTTCTGGGCAAATATTTTGAATATTTCACATGCAATAAACAAATTCTCTCTCACTGTGCAGAATTCAAGCAATGCCAAAGCATATGGAGTAAAAGTATATAGAGTAAAAGTATATGGAGTAAAAAAATCCTCCACTGACCTCCACCCTTCACCCCCCCCCCCCCCAGCCCCACACTCACCACAATCCGCTCTCCCTCCTGTAGGCAGTGCTAAGGGCTCTGCCCGGATCCTTCTAGATCAGTGGTTCCCAGCGCAGGGCACACACCCCACAGGGGAGCAATTTGATTTTTAGGGGGGCATTCGAGAATGAGTTATTAACAGTGAATGTTTTACATTTCTTATGGTTCTAGGGGCCTCATATACAACATATAAATATATATTGTGACATATTTATGCATTTCAGTTTTCTATTATATGTTTTGAAATTTTATTTGTTGTGTTTTCCATATCATTTCACGATATTATTATTTTTTAACAATTTCTTAGTGATTTCTTCCTCAGAACTTCAACTGTCCTTTCGTTCTTTTATTTTTCTCTTTGATGGGTGCCTTGTTCTTTGGAAACTTGTTTAGACCAAGTTGATGGCCTTTTAAGCTTCCTCCACGTGAATAGGAGCTCACTTTTTGAATAATAAGAATTATATGTCATGGGGGGGGCATCAGGATTTAGAGATGCTTGCGGGGGGGGGGGCTGGCCAAAGAAAGGTTGGGAACCGCTGCTCTGGATCTTTCTTCACACAGAATCCTGTGCATGAGGCAGCGAGTGCTTCAGTCACGCAATGGGCCCGGGACAGGCCTTCAGAGCGGGACAGGGGGAGCCCCTCTCCCTGACCGGGGCTCACAGAAGTCCTGCCTCAGATTTCCTCCCTTTCCGGTGTCTGTGTCGCTCACCTGGGCCACTGCGCCCGCCTCCTCGTGTCGTATCTCCACTTAAAATGACCATCTGAGGGAATCAGTGATGTCTACATCCTCTGGCCCTCAAGGACTTTACAGAATTAGCCCAATTCAATCAACTCCATGAACACTGCCCCAAACCCGCTTGGCCAGGCTGTGCTGGGCCTGGACAGCAGGGGAGGAACGGGAACCGGGGCCGGGAGAGGGGCAGCTGGCTGGACCGGGCTGGGCCGCGTGCTGCCCTGATGGGGAGGGCAGCCCAGGGAGGGGTGAGATGCAGGGGGCTCGCGCTTCTCGCTCGGCAGCCTGTTTACGCGCTGAGCCACGTCACTCCAGCCCACTTCCCACCGCTTCCCGCCACGGCGTCTCCTACTACCCAGCACTTCCTTATTTCAGGCGGTTCTCAGGCCTCGGGGTCTCAGCTCATCCAGCCCTCACAGCAGCCCTCTGAGGGGAAACTGTTATCATCTCCACTGACAGAGGAGGGAACGGACTCACAGACAGCTTAGCTAACTCGCCTGCGGGCACAGGCAGCGCTCGCTAAACCTGGGGTTTGAACCCCGCTTGGCCAGTCTCCACGCTCACCCTATAAACTGCTCTGCAGATGCTGGTGGTGTCACTAGGGAGGTCAGGGAGGTCTCTCTGAGCAGGTGGGATTTGAACTCAGACATGGGGTGGGGGGAAATAGTCTCTACTCAAAGGGACCAGGAACGTGTATAACATCTGTCATCAGTTAGAAGCACACCAGGAACCGGGACTTGGTCTCCTGACCGTCTTTGAGGCTCTCGACCTCTCTCAGGATGTATTCCATGAGGACTGTCTCAGGGTCCCTTCCGCCATTCCGTCGTTATAAACAGCACCGCACCGAGTCCGTGTTTGTGTCGGCCATGCCCACATGGAATGTTTCCCTCTGGTATGCATCGCATGAGCCGTGCCAGACGTGGCTTAAATACGCTCCCGAGTGGTTGTACCAATTTAACCACTAATTTCCCCACCATGTCATCAGCCCTCGGTGCTGTCAGACTGCAAAGTATTAATTCAATGTAATGAATGTAAATGATGTCTCACTTTATCTAATCTGCATATCCTGATTACTAGTGAGGTGAAGCATCTCTGTGTTCATTGATCGCTCCTGTTTGCTCTTGTGTGACTTGCCTGCTCGTGACCTTTTCCTGTTTTTTTTTCTACGTGGTTAGCTTTTTCTCTTTAATTTGTAGATGTTCTTTCCATCGTCTGTACATTAACCATTTGTCAGTAACAGACATAGCGGCTGTCTTAGTCCACTCCGTGGTTTGTTGTTATTTTGATGATGAGGGCTCTTGTCCTTCAGAAAACGTTAATGAGTCAAATGTATCAGTCGTTTCCTCTTACAACTTGTGTTTTTTTTTAGTATCTTGACTTTGTTATAATGATTTCTCCTCTAGCTTCTTTCAAAGGTTTTTAAGTTTTGCTCTTTCATATTTAGGCTGGAATTTATGTCGTGGCTAGTTTGAGGTAGAAACCCACATTTTAATGATTTTGCCAAGTGCTAAGTGAACCAATCGTCCCACCCCATTTATCGGCAGCCCTTTGCGCACCTGCTTGGCATGCTGCCTCCGGCTTATTCCAGCTCCTGGATGCTCGAGTCTGTCCCTGAGTCTCTCCCTCTTCCTCTGGCTAACTTGTCTACCGCTGCACCACCCGCAGTTTCCATCGCTGGGGCCTTACATGGCGATCCCTCTCCTCCTCCTCCTCTTCAATTTCTTCTTCAAACACTGACTCTGTTATTCTTGACCCTCCTATCTCCCCCTCCCCTCATTGAAAAGCTCTGTTGGGATTTTGATCGAAATGACATCTATCTCTCTATTTCTTCTGGCCTTTTTTGCCCTTTAATAAAGGTTGTGTCAGTCTTTTATTAGATGTGTTAGTTTTTGTTGCTATGGGCAATGGGATCTTTTTTTCTATCGAATTTTCTAATCTGATTATTGCTGATATAAAAAATGTTGACTCTTTGGGATATTAATTTTGTTTTGAGCAACTTTGTTGAACTTCTTAATAGCGCTAAAAGTTTGGTGGTAGACTATCTCATAGTTCACGTGTAAACAATCAGACCATCTGCATATAATCAGAGGTTTGCCTCTTTTTAACAATATTCTTCAGCGCGTGGGTCCCAGGGCCTCCCTCCTCTCACTCCCAGCCTGGGCCCCCTGTCCTGAGATTGTGTTTGGTTCTGTGGAAGCCAGTAGCAGCGAGCTCATCTGGAGATGTGTGCCTCGCTCTGTGATAGGCCGACGTGAGGCCGCATGAAAATGCTGAAACCAGCACAGTGCCTGGGTTTTTATTAGCTGCAGTAAACGTTTGTTGACGGATTCACTCGTCCAAGGCGAGGTGCTCTCCATGACAACCAGTGGGGATTCGGGATTTCCAATCTGGCAGAAGTCGGGATGGGCATTTGCATAATTTTGAAAAATAAAATTTTTCTTATCAAAGAATGGGGATTTGGTGG